AAGTTGCTGCTGAAATGTCCAGGGATGCATTTCCCCTAAAATGACGTACAACTTGTTGCTTAACTACCATAGTATGATGCATTGTTGAAGAAATTATGTAGCTAGTCATGACTGTTTCCCAAAACTGTATTAATTGTGTTGCTCATCAGACATCCATGTCATGCTAACAACAAACTAACCACACAACTTTGCAATGCTGTTTGTGAATGTTCGTTTGAACTACAGTTTTGGGAGCAGTGGAACTTGTGATCATATCTGGCTAACAATGCTTTTGGGAAAAACACCACAGTATAGCTGATCACTGGTTTATGTTGTGTTTTGGATGCTGGTCCCAATAGGATGTTTGTTTTCCAACCAGGCTTTTTAACTGGCTGTGCTGGCAAGACATTCTTGGTCAATCAACTTCACCAGAAGGTCCACACAAAGTGATTTAACCAAGTAGGTCTTGTTCGTTGGTGAACATCTTTAGTTGATCACAAAGTAATAACTAAACAGTTCTAACTCTGACCCTACTTTTAAATTCAACCAGCACTAACCATCATAATCTGGCCTGGATCTGCAATTCAAGTTGTTCTTTTCAGCAGGAAATACCATACAATTTCTGTAGCTTGACTAGTTCATGGGTTTGATTCCCAGGGAGCACAAATGTATATCATGACTGTCCTGTAAGTTTCTTTGCATAAACGTTGATTTTATTGCAAAAAGCTGAGCTAAACTATTTTTTTCAGGTTGTTCATAGTCAAACATAAATACAAACAAAGAGCTTTCAGAAATCTATAAAAGTAATAATCAGTTTATTTTGCGAATGAGCTAAACCTGACACTTTGAATGAGTCCATTTAGTGCAATCTGCAGTAAGATATTCAAATGCCAATAAGGATGAAGTGTTGACAGATGGAAACATAACAGTCAAGCCTTATGGCCTCACTTGTTCTCTCCCTTACTCTGAATCTTTACAGATGTGAAAAATCTCATCAGGGCAATTCCTCAAGGCAGATGATACAAATTCGACACATTGCAGCTGTGCTCCACTCGAATGTCATTACCAGTTTGTAAAGGGTGAGTCAGCCAATTTGTAGCATCTGCATCCTTAAAGCAATTAGTCCTGACACTGCAAAATAGCTACAGAATGTCAATAAATTTTTTTCAAATCTGCTGCCCAATCAACGGACATTTAAAATGCATTGCTAATTTGCAGCATATGGGGCTTTTAAGGAGATTTTGGCAGGGTGAGGTGATTCCTCTGTTTATCCACGACTGAGTGGCATATAGAGAACATAACAATTTTTAATTTGTTATTATACCTGAGCTTGTTCTGAGCAATTTTGAGCTTGTTATGCATCTGTCAGTGAGGGTCAGAGTTGTGAGGTATTCAAAATTGAATTCACTTGAGAGTGACTTTTAGATTCCAATTCGGTTTCTGAAAATGGTTTAGACTAATGAACTGAAATTTAGTAAATTCCTTGTCCCATCATTCCACTAAAACTTCACTAATTGAAAGGTAAACAATTCTAAAATTCAGAGTTTTGCTCAACCCTGGTAAGAGTGATGGGTTATTAAGACTTCCTGACCTGGAAGGAGTTGAAGAATAGGTCGATAAATAGCTTTGTGAGGCGCAGGGATAGAGCTCCATGTGAGGTAGACTCATCAGTAACAAATGAAAACAGGACCGAATGGATCCCCAGTAACGGAATCAGGGTGAGGGTTGACTTAGCAAGCCTGAAATTGGAAGAAAAACACAAAGATAGACAGTTAATCTGGAAACAAATGCACAATATTGTGTAAATGCTCAAAGTTCACCCAAAAATACAAATTAGGTCACACTTTATAGTTTGGGGACCAATTCTCACTATTAACTAACTATTAACTATGACTTTTGCCTCATTAAACTCCTAATTTGCTGCTTATTAATAGTTAGTAAGGTAGTTGTTAAGTTTAGGTATGGGGTAGAATTAAGGGATCTAAAACATGGTCACACAGAATAAGGCAATAATATGTGCTTTATAAGTACTAATATACAGCCAATATGCCAGTAATATGCATGCTAATAAACAACTAGTTAATAGTGAGAACTGGACCTTAAAGTAAAGTGTTATAGAAAATTCTGTCATTATTTACTATCCCTGATGTCATTTCAAACTTGTATGATTTTCATTCTTTCTAGAGTAGTTTAGGTATGATATTATACTATACTTACAGTTTAAAGTACAAGAACTCTAAGGACAAAGGCTTCATGTGGGGAACAGAGTGAAAAGTTGTTATATAAAGAATATCTGTCCACTTTAATGCAGGTCTCAAATTTCTTTCACGAATACATGCAAATGATTAAAGTATGGTGGATATGGTGCATTACCGTATTACATCATTGCTGTCAATGTTACAAATGCAATTGGTTTTCATGTCTCTTATAACCAATTGAAATGCAAAACATTTAAATGTTCTTTCAAAGCTATTGTTTGACTTAAAACCTTAAATATAGTTGTATGGGTTACTTTTATAATGCATTTATTGACAGCTCACTGTGTGTTTCATCAAAAGATCTTTTGTGTTCCACTGAAGCAAAAGGAACTCATAGAGGTTTGGAATAAATAACGCCAGGCATTTCACTTTTGGGTGAACTAACCCTTTAACTGTTGGACACCCACCGGAACTTGTAGTCAGAATATCTCATTTGGTGCGCCCTCAGTTTGGACACGAGGATCTTGATGATGTGTATGAAGATGAAAAAGTTAATCTGGACAGAGAAAAAAAAAATCACAATCGCCCTGGTTAAGACCATTATGTCACAAAACTGACTCAACAGTTTCCTCACAGCACAACAAATGACTCAAAATGAGGTACTGGGGCAGCGAGGAGTGTAGGGGGAAAGAAGTCAGCGATGCTTGGCGGAGTCTGAGAATGGCATTATTATTAGTCCAGTGCTCCAGCCCTGGGAGAATTCAAACATAGGAATTCCTGTCCACTACAGGAACACTTGAGACGCTGACAGATATGCAGAAACATAGCTGCACATTGCTAAATGCTCATCTGCACCTCGTAGCCAATGTGAGCATTATGGATGCATTGCAATTTTGCACAGTATTGCGCCTTTCAACGCAATCATGTGGAAATAAGACACTGGAGGAGGGGGTAAGTAATTCTTTGAAATCATAGCTGTAGACCCTAAAACATATTCTGTGTAGTAGCTTACTGATGCACTGAGAGTCGACATCATATGGCGCTGTGCTTCGTGCATAATGGAAATTACTTCAATTTTGAATGTTGTGTTTAATGCTAAGCCAAATGCAATGCAATTGGGTGTGATGGTGTGTGTCACGAATCCGGTCTATGAACTTCAATTCACTCACCACCAGAGGTCACCCTTCCATTACATTGACTCTCGCACTACACAAACTGTTGCATGTCATCCCGGACTACATATCCCATCATCCATTGCACCAATTGCACACAGCACTGATTGCACACAGCTGTAACCAATCACACCTTCACTATATAACACTCACTCAGATCCCTTTCAAACTGCCGAGCATTGTATGCGCATATCGCTAGTTGTGATAGCTACGTTACGGAGCCAGCTTTAAGTTTCCTAGTATAGTCTAGTCTAGTCTAGCCTAGCCTAGCCTAGTCTAGTCTAGTCTTGCCTTGTCTTGTCTGTTTCTTCGTCTTCTGATCATTGCCTGTGTACTTTGGATTACCTCTCTCATCTTGCCCTGTTCGGATACTGTTTGCCCCTGCCTGGACCTTTGCTTTGTACCTGGATCATCTCTCTAGTCTCGCCCTGTTGGATTACGTTCGTCTTCGACTGACCCTCGCTTGTTTACCTATGTTTACCCTCGCTAGTTTGCCTATGTCTGACCTATGCCTGTTTATGACCATGTCTTAATAAAAGCTTTGCACATGGATCCGCACGTCTCATGTTCTGGTTACTCCGTAACAGAGTGAGCATAGATGGAAACTGCAGGGCATAAAACAGCATAACCTATTTAACCTTACAGTGTTCTTCACATTCCTTCGATTATGTCAGAAAATAGTCAAGCCTGGGTCACAGTAATATCAGTATCATCAAAATTCTTACTATGTGTGTGGTGTGGGTGTAAAGATCAGGTAAAATAGGCAGAATTGGCCTTTTTCATTTCATGAACATGAATTTGAATTGAAATGGCCACAGGTTGTTGAATTGGAATGGCAGAACAGAAAATTTCATTACTGAATTTTATTAGTTTTGTAATTATATTCCTTTTAATGAAGACTGATCATGCCAGTTTATTCTCTGACACATATAATTTTTGAAAACACACTACAATAAGGTTTAATGTGCTAGCATTAGTTAAGTTAACATGAACTAGCAATGAAACATACTTCTAAAGCATTTATTAACAATATGTATTGTTCATTTCAGCATTTACTAACACATTAAAGGCAAAATTTGCTTCTGTTTATTTCTGAGCCCTTTCCTTTTCAAACTTGGGTTGCTGAAGCTGTGGAGACATATGAAGGATGAGTCTGCATTCGAGTTTACTATAATCTGATGCATTTCTAAGTAAATTGGAATATTCAGTGACAAAATATATATGATGGCCTTGTTTGATGGGGAAGTGATTGATTGATTGGGAATTGTGATATCAGCACATGACATACTGTATATGGAGCTGTTGTGTTTGCGGGTCCTGAACTCATTCCCACTCTTTCCTTCGCTTTACTGTCCAAATCACCAGTATCCTAGATAATCAAAGCTAAAAAGCAATTTTGAATTCATGTTGACTTCAAGGGTGGAGGTAAAGTGGCATTACAGGAGGTAAAGTGCGATTAGCAGTGCTCTGAATATGAGACACTTGGGCAGATAAGTACAGCTGAGAGAGGCTGATGAGGGTTCGAGGATCAAGACTCTCACTCACCAACACGGCCAGCAGGATTGGCGAACGAATAATCCACCAGTACTCCATGTTAATATTCTGCACCCAGCATCTGATCAACAACAAGAGATCAAATACATCACTGTAAATGAGCAAATATATAGCCTACTTATGTTCATTAAACATACTCAATACAGACAAAATGTAGTTAAACAAAGTTTACTGAAGCAACATAGGTTTACTTGATTATCCATAGTTTTTGTATTTTTATATTTGAGTATCAAATATGATAGAACAGGCTTTTGAGGAACATTTATTTGCATGTCTCTCAATCATCATTGTATTGCATTGCATTATTATTTTTATTTATTGATTTATTTATTTTTTGCCTCCAACAATAAAAAATACAGAGCTTTGTTAAAGGGATAATATGATGCAATTTAAAATTTTCCTTTCTCTTTGAAGAGTTACAAGCTCTTGGTGCATAAATAAGATCTGTAAAGTTGCAAAGACTAAAGTCTCAAATCCAAAGAGATATTCTTTATAAAAGTTAAGAGTCAACCACGCCTACCTAAAACAGCTCGTTCTAACACGCCCCCACATGTCTACGTCACGATGTGGGAACATTTGCATAACGCCGCCCAAATGTTCGTGCAAAGAAAGAAGGCGTAACTTTTATTCTCGCTGTAGTATTGTTGTTGCTGCCGCCATGTCGTGAAGGCGCTGTGTGTTTCGTTGTGAAAGCGAAACTACTTTGTTTGACCTTCCAAAAGAGGACGATATCCGCTTCATCATGCCTAGAGCTGATCCGTGCTAGTCGCTGAGGAAATACATCAACTTCACGCTGTGGATCGCCAGATCGTCTTTCACCGTGGACGAAGTGGAGTCCAGCCCGGGGTCGTCACATGTGGTTGCCGCAAGCCCACCGGACGCTCCTTTGTTGAATCCGCCGGCCGTTCCTCACTCTAGCCGGCGGCCGCCGCTCACTCAAGCCCACCGTGTGTGACGCTGTGTGTTTTGTTGTGAAAGCGAAACTACTTTGTTTGGCCTTCCAAAAGAGGACATGACTAGCAATCAGTTGTTAAGTTGTATTATAAACACTGTTCCAGAACAGTTCAACCCAAATATTCATTTGTGTGCAGCACATTTTATGGAGGACTGTTTCCTGATCCTGATAGAGTAGACTACAATGCCGGCTGTTCTGACTCACAGACTGTAAGTACGTTTTTCATATTTAAAGGATTTGACACTAATGATTCAAACACGAATTTTGAGCAGTGTAGAGTAGCGCTTGTTGTTTGTCATTTCTCCGATCACAAATGCAGAAATGGTTTTATGTTTATACGGCATGATGCAACGCGTAAAAAGACAGTATAAGTCATTATAATCCGTAATTATGTCCCCACTGGATGCAACAAATGTTTATGAGTTTTAATGTTTTTGTCTCTTGCAAGTTGTCTCTTATAAAGAACTCATTGGTTTACATTACAAGCTATCAGAATTTTATCTTACTTTTTGACCATATAAATATCAGCAACTGCAGAAAAATAATGTTGAATTAATTATATGAATAATGTTCAGATAGAAATACTAGCTTACGTTTTTACTGAATACTCTACATACACTGTGTATATAGTGCTATGCTCATTTGTTGTCACATGACTTCATAATGCATATTTGTTTTAATTCAGTAGCCTACATCATTAAGAACATCCAGCCATCATCTTAATGTAAGAACAGTTACATGTTTTTTCATTTGTTGTCACATGACTTCATAATGCATATTTGTTTTAATTCAGTAGCCTACATCATTAAGAACATCCAGCCATCATCTTAATGTAAGAACAGTTACAGTTTCAACTCCAATTTTGTATATAAAATGTCCTTTGGCAGTTCGATTAAATAATGCATAAAGAACTAGATGTTAAAAAGTACATTTTAGCACTATTAAAAAGTGTGGCTGATATTACTTCCGGTTCATTGCAGTGTGTTATTTTGTTGCATACTGCACATTTTGCATTTTGACAACTATAGTATGATGATATGATATTATGATGCCAACCCTGAAACAACATATAGAACTACCACATTTTGCTATAAGTTTGATTGCATCATATAATAATTGCTGTTAATAGTGTTCATCGTCTGTTTGATTACGTCTTTAATTGATTTTTCTGTACATTTCTGCCATATGTACATTAACTGACAGTCACCACTGATAAGCTACCACTAAATAGTGTAGAAACTTAATTTGCTAAAAAGTTGCTTTGCAATGATTTGTATCGTGAAAAGCGCTATACAAATAAACTTTAATTTAATTTAATTTAATTAATACAGAGAACCTGCGCACTGGAAATTCTGCATTATCTCAGTATCTGGAGTGATAGTGCGGAAAAAAATCAGTGACACTGCAACAAGTAGCCATTCTAGACACATGACAGATTACATGCTATCTGAATGGGGATAATGTGGAGCTTATCAATAGGAAGGAGTGATTCTTTTATCTGCTCAGGATGGGTAAGTTCAGCTGGATGGATGGGGTGATGAGTGTGGGACAGTATGAACCTGTCCTCAAGCCCTAGTAGGCCATGACACATTAAAATGTGGCTACAGATATACAAACTGCATGATTTATGTCAGTCTCTCTGCCTGCTGCTGAGCTATAGAAAAACTATAGAAACGGGGCTGGGCTATTCCTTTTGAGAAATAATTTATGGAAATAATACACTTAAAGGGATAGTTCACCCAAAAATGAAAATCTTGTCATTATTTACTAATCTTTAAGTTTTTCAAATCCTGTATGCGTTTCTTTCTTCTGTTGAACACAAAAGAAGATATTTTGAAGAATGTTGGTGACCAAATAGTAGCCATTGACTTTCATAGTATGAAAAAAAATACTATGGAAGTCAATGGATACCGTTAGCTGTTAGGTTACCAACATTCTTCAAAATATCTTCTTTTGTGTTCAACAGAAGAAAGAAACTCATAGGCTGATGATACACGGGGCAACTTTTTGAGCAATGTTGCCGCCAACGGGCAACCAGATGAGACACAGGGCCCATAACTGATCTAAAGTATCCAGATAGACATTTGTTATCCATTCTCAGTGTGAAAGTGCACAAGCAACATTGTTCAAAAAAAGTTGCCTGGCAAAATTGCTCAAAAAGTTGCCCCATGTATTATCAGCCATACAGGTTTGGAATTTTTGGGTGAACTATTCCTTTAAAGTGTGAATTGAATGTAATGTTTTCAGGACACTCAATTGCATATCAATTGCAATTAAGTGAAATGTATTATAGTTTTAAGTTATATTTAATACAATTAGACAACTTTATCAGTCATAACCTTCCAATCCCTACCGAAGTGTTTTATTTTATTAATTTTTTTTTTTTTTTTTTTTTTTTAGTTTTGTGACCTAACTTGGAGAGCAATTGTAATTTTTAGATAAGCATGTTCGATTCATTTAAAAAAAAAATCCCACTTTTTTTCCCCCTCCGAATGGACAAACTCTCTATTGTTGAGTTAAATCGAGTTATAAAGTCCGAAATACGAGATATAAAGTTGCATTTGCAAGAAAAAAAGTCAGAATTGTGAGACAAAATAGGTAAATGTAAAATGTTATAGGTTTATTTGCTGTAACTGTAGGGCTAATATAATATGTTCCCTATGAACCTATGTGAATATTATGTATAGACCAATTTTTAAATCAAATTTATGCTTTAAAAGCAGAGTATTCATAGCAGGTTTTATTCTTCATTAGTCTGTACGTTTAAACATCTGCGTTTAGCTTCAAATGGTGTTTTTGACGATAGAATTCTATAAAAATGAATTCCGATTCTGACATCCAAAGGCACAACAATACATTTTATCTCTTATTCTGTGGATTTTTCCCGTTTCACTCCACTTTTACCAGTTTTTTTCTGCCACCACAATGCGCGCGCAGCTACGAGTGACGTAACTGTGACGTCTACACGAAATTTGTCTATAGAGTATATATACAGTGGTGTGAAAAAGTTTTGAACTATTTTTATAAATCTAATAACTGGTTGTGCCACCCTTTGCAGCAACAACTGCAATCAAGCGTTTGCGATAACTGGCAATGAGTCTTTCACATCGCTGTGGAGGAATTTTGGCCCACTCTTCTTTGCAGAATTGTTTTAATTCAGCCGCATTGGAGGGTTTTCGAGCATGAATGGACTGTTTAAGGTCATGCAACAGCATCCCAATCGGATTTAAGTCAGGACTTTGACTTACTTGGACCACTCCAAAACCTTAATTTTGTTTTTCTTGAGCCATTCAGAGGTGGACTTGCTGGTGTGTTTGGGATCATTGTCCTGCTGCATAACCCAAGTGCGCTTGAGGTCACAAACTGACGGCTGGACATTCTCCTTCAGGATTTTCTGATAGAGTGCAGAATTCATGGTTCCATCAATTATGGCAAGTTGTCCAGGTCCTGAAGCTGCAAAGCAGCCCCAGATCATCACACTACCACCACCATGTTTGACTGTTGGTATGATGTTCTTTTTATGAAATGCTGTGTTGGTTTTACACCAGATGTAACGGGGCACACACCTTCCAAAAGGTTAAACTTTTGTCTCATCAGTCCACAGAATATTTGCCCAAAAGCCTTGGGGATAATCAAGATATATTTTGGCAAATGTGAGACGAGCCTTTGTGTTCTTTTTGGTCAGCAGTGGCTTTTGCCTTGGAACTCTCCCATGGATGCCATTTTTGCCCAGTCTCTTTCTTATTGTTGAATCATGAACACTGACCTTAACTGAGGCGAGTGAGCCCTGCAGTTCTTTAGATGTTGTTCTGGGTTCTTTTATGACCTCCTGGATGAGTCGTCGTTGTGCTCTTGGAGTAATTTTGGTTGGCCGGCAACTCCTGGGAAGGTTCACCATTGTTCCAAGTTTTCTCAATTTGTGGATAATGGCTCTGACCATGGTTCGCTGGAGTCCCAAAGCCTTAGAAATGGATTTATAACCCTTTCCAGACTGACACGCCAACTATTTTGTTTCTCATCTGTTCTTGAATTTCTTTAGATTGCGGCATGATGTGTTGCTCTTTAAGCATGCTTCACTTTGTCAGACAGGTTCTATTTAAGTGATTTCTTGATTCAACAGGTCTGGCAATAATCAGGCCTGGGTATGGTTAGTAAAATTTAACTCAGCTTTTTTAAAATAATGAATGTGGTTAATCATAGTTCCTTCATGATTTAACAGGAGGGGGCAATTAATTTTTCACGTAGGGCCAGGTAGGTTTGGACAGCTTTTTTCCCTTAATAAATGAAATTGTCATTTAAAAACTGAATTTTGTATTTACTTGCATTATCTTTGTGTAATATTAAAATTTGTTTGATGATCTGAATCTTTTAAGTGTGACAAATATGCAAACAATAAAAAAAAAACAGGAAGGGGGCAAAAACCTTTTCACTGCACGGTAGAAAAAGCCATGTTTAATAAATACCATATCGAAACTCCATTTTACATTTAAGATACAAATATTTTCTCTTCACATAATTTATTACGAATGTGCTACTTACAATACATCTGATGTATAGCAGACTAACTTATGGAAAATGTGTGCAGCAGACAGGTTTTGAAATATGGATGAAATAGATCTTATTAAATATGTAACCTCAGCACTCCCAAAGGGTCATTAAAATAAATTACATCTTGAAAGCCCTTCCAACAATAACAGTGACTGAGTGAAAGACTTCTCACATTGTGCGTGTAAAATCTCATATGTTGGCTGCTACAAGCAAAATCGAACGATTGGAGTGGATGTTGAAGATATATAAAAATGCTAAATACTCGTTTATCACAGACAGACTGAAAATCTGCCTAGCATCACAGCATTTGACATAGTATCTAGGTAGCTTGTGTCCACAATTTATGTATTTGATTTGTTATAAAACAAAAGCTACAGTGACAGAGTACTGATGTCGGCCAACTCTCCAGCCGCAAAAAACACACTGACTGTTTGACGAGAGCTGGCTTTCATCAGTCGCAAACACACACATCCCACGTGGCTCCAGAACTTACTCTTCATTCTCGTACAAGTACTTCACAATCACCCATGGCAACACGAATATCAGAGGGGCACCTGAGGGAGAAAGAGAAAGAGAGACCTTGTGACACGAGGCATAAACCATCTGCTACACTCTGTTTGGACATGCTATGTATGAGGAAGCTCTTAAACCCTGTTAATTGAGTTCATGGTGTAAAAGCTCTGAACCTCTCACCCCAGCCGATACACTGGTAGATGGCGAAGTAATTCCTCTCCGTCAAGACTGTGACGACCAGAAGGCTGTGCAGGTAGATGCCCTCCACCAGCAGCCAGTAGTTGTTGGCCAGTATGCTGTACTGCATCATCACCATTGCAACCCTGCAGCCAACCGCCGTCTGAAACGCACACGTTGATTTTGGGGTCACTGAAAGCTTTCAGCTAAATTTTAACCTGCCGCCTCCATTCAGATTTATTTGCACAGTAAATAGGTACTTAACTTAATCTATACTAACATGCATTTTAAGGAATATTCCTGGCCATTTACAACATACTGTAAGGTTTATGGGCAGCATATTAGCATAAAAAGTTTGAAGAAGAAAGTCATTTTTTGTTGTTATTAAATAACTTTTAATGAAATTTTACTTCCGTAAAAATGTTTGTAGCATTAAAGGCCTGATTTACTAACAGCTTTCACCAGTGCAAACCCTCTTTTGGCATTAAACTAATGTCAGGGTTTATTACAGACACATGGTGAAAAATTAGCAATGAAAAGGTCAGTTGTTTTTGTGGCTATTTTTGTTGCATATGCATTTATAGGAGGTGAAAAAATTATTGGAGAAAATTTAAAGGGGTCATCGGATGCTAAATTCACTTTTACATGTTGATTGAACATAAATGTGTGTTGGCAGTGTTTGTACACATCCACCCTATAATGATAAAAATTCACTCAGTGTTTTTTTTTTAATCTCTATAAATAATATCCCCTTTCTCAAATCAAACCGTTCTCAGCTTCTTGGCTGTGTGACGTCACACAGACCCAGGCCCCTCCCACGATTGTTTGATTGGCACTGGCATTTTCCTTAGACCCGCCCTGAGTGAGCTGTCTTAAGTCCGCCATTGTTTCACCGCCGGAGCAGATGGAGACAAGAATGTCTCCTAAGCGATTGAGGTGTTTTGTTGTTGGATGTAATAATGAACATAGCAGTCATAATTTACTCCCGACATCTGAGCCGCTGAAGACACAGTGGATTACATTTGTTTTTGAAGGGAATGCGCCGATCCCCGATCTACCTAAATGTGTTTATGTTCGTGCAAATCATTTGTGATCCAGCTTCACCTCCAGAAGAAGTGAGTATAAGGTTCTTTTATGAATCATTGCAAATCACCTTTCCTAACAACGTGCTAGTTAGCAAGTTCCGTGGCTAAAGTAAACAGTTGCATGAGAACGGCTCATCACCCCACGGAAGAGAGGGGCGGGGCCAGCAGAGCTCATTAGCATTTAAAGGAACATGGACTAAAACGGGTTGCTGTGTGCAGAGCTGTTTTTGCTGTTTTTGTTGTTTTACACTACCATTGAGAAATTTTAACCAAAGTATGTTATAGACATTTCATTAAGACCCTAAAGAATCATATCAAATTGTGGAAAATGGACATTCGATGACCCCTTTAAATAAATCATATACTACACAAATAAGCAAACTAAACATTGAAATTAGTTACCAAAATAGCTATCATAAACTAACAATTTTTCAGCAATTATGTTTTTTTTACATATACTAATGATTTTTAACATGAATAAAAGTTCTATATGCCAAAACTAGCTAATATATTAGCAATAAATCATAAATTATATTGAGGACACTGATTCTTACAAATTGCATTAAATCTACCTTTTAAAAGTAGAATGATGCCTTTTGTACTTTTTGTTTTCTTAAAAACACAACAGAAGGAACTGAAAAGTTCCCCTAATTGAAGAATTCACACAGCATGCTGTAAATTAAATTGTAAATAACCCTGAATATTCTTTTGAAAATAATTACATAGATATAGGATTATTAAAAATGTGAATGAATCCAGAGATACACACTACAATTCAAAAGTTTGGGGTTTGTACTTTTTTATAAAGAAATTTATACTTTTATTCAGCAAGGATGCTGTTCTTCTCAACTTTCTATTCATCAAAGAAACCTGAAAAAACACAGTTTCCACAATAATATAAAGCAGCAATTGTTTTAACCTTGATAATAAGAAATGTCTCCTGAGCAGCAAATTAGCATATTAGAATGATTTCTAAAGTGTCAAGTGACACTGAAAACTGGAGTAATGATGAGTACATTCACCTTTATTAAAAATATATAAAATAGAAAAAAAGTTATTTTAAATTGTAATAATATCTCACAATATTAGAATTTTTACCATTTAAAATAAAGGCCGTCTTGGTTTAGCAGTAGAGACTTGTTTTAAAAACATTCAAAACTCTTACTGCCCCCAAACCTTTTAATGGTAGTACAGTATATTATAATATTTTAATAACAATAACAACAAAGAAAGACAGCAGGTTATTGGACCTCATTTTTAACCAGCCACTCCACCTCCAGTTCAGTGGTGATGTCCTGACCAACATGGAAGTCATCAGGCCTTTCCAACATGGCATCTTTGATGAGAATAGAAGAGGCTCGCAGGATGAAGGAGGCAAACAAGTTCATGTGAATGTTGTTTCTCATGCAGTGCAGCTTCCTGCGGGGATCAGAGTGCAATGAATAAAAGTCAAAAAGCATCACACCGTTCACTCAAAGAAGCCCAACTCCTTAACCACAGACACAACCAAAGATCCAAAAACTGATGCTATACATGTTTTCAATTTAAAATGTAAGCAGAAGGAATAAATTCCCAGTTGGCTTGAATGCTACCTAAAGGCCACCAGGATGCCCAACGCCAGCACCAGCGCCGCAAGAGACAGGGAATATCCAATGGTGTACATGGTCCGGAACTGACTAAGGATCCGTCCGTAGTGTTGCTGAACACAGACATACAAATACATCTGCTCAGACAATGACACAAATGCACAGGTGAACACCATATTGAATTTAGGGGGACAGACTTTCAGTCTTTACATTGGCATGAACTGTATAAAGGTCCTAGATCACGTCTTTTTTTTAAATTCACAACTTAATGTTTTATGGAGTTTTTGTCCACTGAAAATCTTTGGAAAGATGTTTTGTCAACACATTCTCACTCCCAACTCGTCACATATTGGCGCTTGGTCAGGACACTTTCGTGTCACTTTTTGATGCACAGGGTAATTTTTCGACATGCAGGGTCCTCCATTGCTTTAAATAAGAAACCCTTGGCGTCAATATGCCGATGCGAAAGGCACTGGGAATTTTATCATCATGATTAAATTATATATTGGGTAATAATATTGACATTATTGCATATATGTTGGGGTGTGATTTTTCAATGTAAACACTAACAGTCACAACTGTTTTATTTGTATTACAGTATTTACACATTTATAAGCACGTAACCCAACCAACCCCTTCTCCTAAACCTACCATTTGTCAATAAAACACAGGATATAACAGGCAGATACAACTACAGTCATAATTTATTCAAAAAGTATTAATATTCCAAGTCTTCCGAGGCAAAACGATTGATTTGTGAGAGGAATAGACGCGATCGCCATCTCTGTCCGTAATTGCCTGTTACATGTTTTATATTGTTCAGAAGTGGGTAGGTTTACGCCAATAAAAGTATACATTTATATAAAATTATTTCTATTTTTTACAAATGCATGCAAACCATTAAATTAAGACAAACAACTGAAAGCAATGGAGGACCCTGCACGTCGCAAAGTGATGCTAAAAGGATACCCCTGTGCGTCGAGAGAAAAAAAAAAAAAAAAAAAGCGACGACAAGGGGTCCTGACCAAGCGTCAGTATGTGACGAGTTGGGAGTGAGAACGTGTTGGTTTTGTCAGCTGAACAATCGGTATGAAGTTAAACAACAGTACAGTCCATTGACCACACACTGTAATTCTATTAATATTTCAGTTTACTTATAGTGCTGTTATATTAGAATCTTACAGGTTAAAATTTATATGGATAAATGTTTTATACAGTATGTTTGATAAACATAATTCAACTTTTTCAAACATTTTTGAAAATTTTGCTCAAGTATAGTCTGTTACAGTTTGACACATTTTTGTTATTTCACATTGTGATTTTTGCTGGCCAAATTACACCATGAAATAGTGACTATATTTAAAAAGAAATTATAAAAAAAAAAAAAAGAGTAAAAAATGAACTCTGCATTAAGGCTGAAATACACTACATGACGGTTTAGCTCAATTTGCCATTTTGGCAGATCGACACTAGATGCCAGAAGTCTGCAGATTTCACAGAAAACAAACATGTTTGATATTTTAACTTTCAAGGGAATCTCTTTTCAGATTTTAAAAGTCGTTTAGTGTATTCTAGCTCTTAGTGGTGCAGAAATGAACATCATTCATCTTTAACACGTTTAAGAGTTAACAGATATTTAATATAACTATCACCTATTCATCTAGCTTCAAAAGAGTTGCGGTGTTTCTCACATACCATGTTGATTTGTGTGGGGTCACGTGAAAGACATTCGCTGACATTCTTCTGTTTGCTATACTGTCCGTCTGCATCACACTCCAGATACACAAACCCATGTCGGACTGACACACACACACACACACACACACACACACACACACACACACACACACACACACACACACACACACACACA